ATATATAAAACTATGACTTGATTGCTTAATTAATAATCGTAATTTTTCCTTTGGACTTTAACTTTCTCATCATTTGCAATTTTGAGGCAGTAAACGTAAATAGCGCCCTCGCAGTTGTCTCCATCCTTACACATCATTTCTGCCTGGATAGAAATTTTTCCACTTGGCAAAGATCCTTTGCTTCTTCACTCACGATTCCCTCGTGATCGTCGTGTCCCACCACAGCTCCATCGAACAAAAACTTAACGTTTTTCATGTGTCAATCATTTCCGCCCGTGTAGACGAAGGTAGCCTCGACTGCTCCATCGAGAGGAAATTCAACGGACACCCACTTGTCACTTTTCAGATCACCACTTTTCCACTGAACAATTGTTCCCAATTGAAAGCCAGCGTCAACGACTGCCATATATTTGAGGACTTCTTTCTGGTGGACGGCGTAATTTGACAAAAACCTAGGCCAATTTTTCACCTCATTTTGTGTCCAACCGATTTCAGCAACGGCCAAAATACGAGGGAACAACTTCCATTCAAGGTCCTCCCTTTCCCACACATACTCAGTCCACGAGTTTCCTTGCATGCCGATTATGTACATGTGATACTGCTCGTCAAGTCCGCTTGTTGTATTGTAGCTGTAGATGTTGTAGGCCATGTCGAGTCCTTGTATGTACTCGTAGGGCTCGAGTGCCGCGAACTGGTAAAAATCTAAGTACAAATAAGTGTCAGGCGTCATCACAACATCGTCCTAATTTGGCGGCTTTAAGGCCACCACTCACGCCCTGCCAAGACATGACAACAGTTGAGTCAGGGAAGGGCAGGGCACCGTGCAAGATCTCATCCCAGCCAATCATTCTTCTCTTTGCTTTCGAGGCACTTCTTCCAGCGTGAACGGGGACAGTCATCACCGCCACAATGAATGAAGACGCTGTCAAAGATCTCCAAGACATCGTCCAATATCTTCTCTAGAAATTCAATGACTTGATCGTTTCCCGAACCCCAGTAACAACGCGTTTTAAACGGTCCCCCTGTGCATGAGTACTGTGGATAGCCGGAGAGAAGTGAAAGGGCATGGCCTGGCATCTAAATTTCTGGTATGATTTTGACAAACCGTTTTTTGCCATATTCAATTATTTCTTTGATTTCACCTTCAGAATATTAGAAGGGTACGTATTGAATTCCGTCCAATATATTACGATCCCACATCACTGGAGATGCATCGCGTTTAGAACCATACAAGGCGAGATTGGGAAAGTTGGGAAGCTCTAACCGCCAACCTTGATCTTCGGTGATGTGAAAATGAAGAACGTTAAGCTTGAAATGTGACATGTAGTCAATGATCGATTTGATGGTAGTAACATCGAAAAAGTGGCGATACCTCGCCATTGGAATCGTGGGTAATCCTCAATGGTGACACATGGTGCTTGCCATGATATTGAAGGATCTGTAATGGTTTTGTTAGAGTAGATTTGTGGAGGTAGAATTTGAAGAATCGTTTGCATTGCATCGAATAATAGCTCCTTGGTGTTGGCACTGATTTGAATTAAATCGGAATCCATATTAATTTGATATTTATCATCAACACTTCCCGAAAGTTGGATACCAAGTTTAACTTTGGCTGATTCTACAACTTCAAAGCGAATACCAGTGGGCGTATAAATGGCATCTGAGAAAAATTCGGCAATCTCTTTGGCATAACTTGAAATGGCAGGATCATATCCAATATGCATGCCTTTTGTAATTGTCCAGAATTTGCCTGATACTTCTGATGTATGATATTGCCTTGGAACAATATTTATTAAGCTGAGTGAAAGGTAAGAAAGTAGTAAAAGAATTTATTAAATCTCTTCACAAAAAGTTTCTTTTTTGAAAAATTTGAAAACATTTTATTTGAAATTAAACTAATTTTTTCAAAGATAAATAAAACCCCCACCAAAACCGTTTACAATTTTTATCGGGAGAATAAAAGTTTTTATTTATATGGAATCCCATCATTTTATTGATATTTTTCATTAACAAACTTATAATAAATATTTACAAAGCTTCTATATTTATATAAAGTTTTATTCTAATCGAAAATATTTATGGAATATTAGCGATATAAATGATACACGATTTATTTTTTTTTTTTCTGATAAAGCATAATTAAATTGTTAGATAAATAAGACCCATAATTTTTTACAAGGTCAACTTAAATATGTATGAAGTTACGTGATGATGATTTTTTTTATTTCTATTTTTTAATCAATGTGTGTATTATTTTCTCATCTAAATAAGATTTATACCCAACTATAAATTAGATGGGTTATTTTTTTTACAAAATGAAGCTTTTATTGTTGCATATTTACATAAATAGATAATTCATAGATTTTGAACCATTTTTTTTCAAATAAACTAATAATCTTTGTAAAGAAATTATTTTTTGCCATTTTTTATAAATAAATAATGAAAAAAAAAAATCAAATATCAAAAATATAGTTTTATAAATAACGTATTTTTATACGTTACATGTTTTTTATTTTCACTTAAATTTCGATTAAATATAATAATTGATATATTAATAATATCATAATAAACCATAATATATATTATAAACCATATATTGATAATAATAATAATCATATAAAATATAAATATTAAGATATTAATCTTTTAAAAATAATTAATTTTAACGTATTTATATAGAATATTGAGACTTCGCGTGGTCAAAAACGTGTTTTTTTGAATATAAAAACGTATTTTTGCTCGTTATTTTCTAAGGTAACGTATTTTAAAATAACGATTTTTTTAAAATTATATATTTTAGAGACACTTCAATTATTTTTTTTGAAGCAGATTAAAACTAATAAATATTATATAATCTTATATAAAGTCATATATAAATAAATATTATTATATTGTTCACTAAATATTAGGATATTCCTTTTTCAAAAATGTCAAATAATAACGTATTTACATAGAATAGACAACTTCGTGGATTAAGGTGGCCGTTAATTAAGTTATCAGAAACTTCCTTGATTTCTTTCAAACTTTCTTATCTACTCTCAAACTTCCTAAAGATTTTAACTTTCTTATCCTCTTTCAAACTTCCAAAAGATAACTTAATTAATAGGTCTCAAATGCTCTCAAAAAGTTATAAACAATAAAAATGATTTTTTCTTTAGCAAAACTTCAAAACAAAACTAAGACAATATCAGTTAAAAATAAAAATTAAAAAATCAAAATTCAAAAAGAATTTGAAAATAATTGAATAAAAAAGTTATTAATTGAATAAAAATTTTTTTATTCTCTTCAAATTTTTTATTATCAAAAAGTTTATCTTAAGGAACTTTGTGAGAAAACAAGAAAGTTTAAGAAAAGATAATATAGTTTCAAAAGAAAAAAGGAAGTTTGAGAGAAGATAATAAAGTTTATGAGGAATCAAGAAAGTTTCTGATAACTTAATTAACGGCCACCTTAATCCACGAAGTTGTCTAATATTGAGACCTCGCGTGGTCAAAAACGTGTTTTTTTGAATATAAAAACGTATTTTGGCTCGTTATTTTTTAAAATAACGAATATTATAATAACGAATTTTTTAAAATGGGCAATTTTTGGAAATCCTTTAATTATTTTTTTTGAAGAAGATTAAAACTAATAAATATTATAATAATCTTATATAAAGTCATATATAAATAAATATTATTATATTATTCAGTAAATATTAGGATATTCATTTTTCAAAAATGTCAAATTATAACGTATTCACATAGAATATTGAGACCTCGCGTGGTCAAAAACGTGTTTTTTTGAATATAAAAACGTATTTTTGTACGTTATTATAAATAAAAAATAACGAATTTCTGTAACAATAAATCATCAATTTTATCATAAAAAAATAACTATTATTATTATAAAATTAAAAAATATTCATTCATGATTTTTTTAATAAGTATATAACGCATAAAAACCTCATGGCCATAAGCTTATATCGTATTAATAATAATAATAATAATTTTTTTTCGTTTTTCTTTCATTAGAAAGAAAATAATGATATGGATCACATATATAAATCAATCATGCAGGAGAGAACATTGATTTTTATGTTATGTAAAAAATAATAATATTTATCTTTTTATTCGTTCAGTAATTAAAGATGGTCCTAAATTATATTTTATTCCACATTGGAATATATTTCCAAATTTATTATTAAAATATATTTTTTTCATAAAAACAAAAATGCAGGGGGTTTTAGATAAATTGAAAATATAGTTTTTATTGCAAATATTTTCAATTTTCAACAGCAAACTAAGCTTTTGTGTCCAGTGAACTGATTGCCATTTTTTGACTTTTTGATAAGAGTTGTCACTTTTTTATGGACAAAAAACGAGTTTTTTTATCGTGTTTTTATTCAATTTTTTGGAAAAAAAAAAAAAAAAATTATCTAGGTATCACTTTTTGAGTTTTGTAAAATACTCAAAAAGTTATAAAACAGATAATTAAACATAAATTGAAGTAGCTTTTTGAAGGCTTCGCCTTTCAAAAAGCTACTTCATTTATTTTTTAAATAAATAATTAAAAAAATACTTTTTTTGGAGAGTTTGATCTTTTTTAAGAAAATAAGTTAATGACATATTATAAATAGCTATTTTATAATAAAATGCTTTTTGCAATACTATTTTAAATGATAGCGAACAATAAATGATACAAAAAGTTTAAAATCATATTTTATATGTAAATATATTTGGAAACTAATAAAAAAAATGATAGATGTAATTTTAAACTATAATTCCAAACATTTTTCAGATTAGCACTTTTTTATCAATTATATCAATTATATTATCAACAGTCTAGGCTTGTTAAGTCTCATGAACCAATATCAACTCTCAGCCACTTTTTTTGATATCAACATCAATGTTATAAATAATTTCTTAGTGCCGATATTGTGAAATTATTTTTTTTTTTTTTTTTTTTTTCAAAAAGTGGATAAAGCTATTAAAAAAGTGAAAAATAAAAATATAAAAAATCTACTCCCGTGTGATTCGAACACACGATTCTCAGGTTAACAGCCTGTTGCCTCTACCACTGGGCTAGGGAGTATCTTGTTATTAATTATTTTATAAAAAATTAGTATTAAAAACGATTTTTAAAAGTAAAGTTAGTTTTTCTAAATTTTGAATAGTTTACCTTTAAATGATTAATATGAACCATTTAAACATTTTTTAAAAAAATATCATTTTAATAAACATTTTTAAAGGTTTTCTTGATTATTTTAAGAATATTTGGGCAAAGAAAATATTTTCTTTTTGAAGATACTGTAAATTTCTCAATATTCAAATATCGGAAATAAATATTTCAATAAATTAATAATTAACTTCACTCATACGTTATAAAAATGAATTTTTTCTCTATGGATATGTAAATATAGATGAGCCAACCTTTTCAATTTTATGTTAAAAATCAATTAATAACGAAAATTTATTTAGCAAAAATACTCATATATCTTTGATTAGAGAAAAATATATTTTTTCTTGCTATACATATATATATATATATATTTATGTTTTAAAAAGGTTAATTTAAATGTTTATTAAAATGCATTTAATAACTCATTGAGTAAGCAATTCTGTGATTTTATCATTTTCAGAATAATCAATTGGTTTTTTCTCGGAATAATCAGTAATATTAACATCTATCTCTTTCTTTTCCATTAAAAGTTTAACTATTTCAATATTATTTTTTTGAACTGCAAGATGCAATGCTGTTTGATAAAACTGAATAATAATTCTATTCAAATTTATAACTTTGAATTACATTTAAAGATAAGATTTTCAATGTCGCTATAAATAATATATTTTAAAATACTGAGAATATTGATATCTAGTTTATCATTGGTTAATAGAAGTTTGATAATTTCAATGTTTTCTTTTTTAACTGCCAAATATAATGCTGTTGAATACAAATGTAATATATTAGAATTGTATTTGAAATATGTAATTTTGAATGTAATTTGAAAAAAATAATTTTGAATCAAATTAAAAAGTGACATTTGAAATTACATTGAAATAAATAATTTTGAATATGATTGAAAGAGATAATTTTAAATTTTATAAAAAAATATGATTTTAAATGTAATTAAAAGAGATGATTTCGAATATCATTGGCAAATTATAATTTTGAATGTAATTGAAAAATATGATTTAGAAATGTAATCAAAAAATAATGATTTTGAATAGTATAAAAATACATATTTAAAACAAACCCATGATTGATATCAAGTTTATCACATGATAATAAAAGTTTAACAATTTCGATATTCTCATTTTCAACCGCCATATATAATGCTGTTTTATAACATTGTATCTTAAATTTCATTTAAAGATTTGATTTTGAATTTTATTGAAAGATATGATTTTGAATTCCATTGAAAAATATAATTTTGAATTGAATGTAGAGATATGATTTTGAATGTCATTCAACAAAATGATTTTGAATTCTATGAAAAAAATAAAATTAAAATATATCCAAGATTAATATCTATTTTATCATTCAATAATAAAAGTTTAACAATTTCGATGTTATCTTTTTTAATTGCTGAGTGCAATGGTGCTTTAGAAAAATTTATTATCGTTAATTTTATATTGAATGAAATTGAAAAAAATGGTTTTGAATTCCATTGAAATATATTATTTAAAATGGAATCTCAAAACATAATTTTGAATTCTATTGAAAAATATGATCAAAATATCATAAAAAATTATAATTGAAAATATATCCAACATTAACATCAATATTATCATTCGATAATAAAAGCTTAACAATTTCTATATTTTCGTTTTCAACTGCTAAATATAATGCTGTTTCATTAAAAAAATAATTTTGAATACTATTGGAAGATAAGAATATGAATGGAATTGAAAAAAATAACTTTGAATGCTATTGGAAGATATCATTTTGAATGACATTTAAAGATATATCTTAAGAATACAATTAAAAATAATTATTTTGAATGGAATTAAATAGTTATGATTTTGAATTCTATTAAAAGCTATTATTTAAAATATAATTAAAAGATATAAATTTCAATGTAATTAAAGGGATACAAATGATAATGTTATTTTTAAAATTGATTTTAAATTGCATTAAAAACAAAATATATTTAAAATAAATCCAAAATTGACATCAATTTTATCATTCAATAATAAAAGCTTAACAATGTCGAGGTTGTCTTTTCTAACTGCTAAATGTAATGGCGATTCATAAAATAGTAATTATCTTTAATTTTATTGTAAAATATGATTATGAACGGAATTGAAAGAAATAACTTTGAATGTCATTAGAAAATATCATTTCGAATGATATTAAAAGATATGATTTTGAATTCCATTAAAAAAATACTATTTTGAATGGTATTAAATAGGTATTATTTTAAATATCATTAAAAATTTATTGCTTTAAATTGAATTAAAAGTTATTATTTTGAATTGAATTAAAAGTTATAGTTTGGAATGTTATTTAAAGTCATTATTTATAACATTATGGAAAGATAAGATTCAGAATTCTATTGAAAGATATGATTTTGAATTAAATTAAAATTTTATGATTAAAAATTATATAAAAAAAAAATATTTTTAAAATACTTCCAAAATTGATATCAAGTTTATCATTCATTAGTAAAAGATTGATAATTTCTATGTTTTCATTTTCAATTGCCAAATACAATGCTGCTTCATAATATTATAATATTTTAAATTAAATTCAATATTATGATTTTGAATGATATTGGAAAAAATGAATTTGAATTCTATTTAAAAAAAAAACATGATTTAAAATGCCATTGAAAGATATGATTTTGAATTCCATTGAAATATATGATTTTGAATTCCATTGAAAGATATGATTTTGAATTCTATTAAAAGATATGATTTTGAATGAGATTAAAAATAAAAAATGATTTTGAATTGTCATCAAGCTAATATTAACATTTCTGCTTAAAGAAACTTTAGCAAGTAAAAAGTAATCATAATGACAAAAGTGGCCAAATGATTTTTCATTTATTTGTTCATTTTCTAAAAATGAAAAATTATAATATTTCAAACTTTGAGCGATTGTTTCATTCACATCATAATAATTGTTTTTAACCAAATAATTGTTATAGAAATAATTAGCAATGTCATTATAATGACATTTAACTGATTCATCAAAACAACTTTGGGCCAAAGATATTATTTTTTTGATATCAATGTCTTCAAGGAGATGAATCAACCTTACATTTTTTCCGTGAATTGCATTAATCCAGAAAAAATCCCTTAATTTCACTTTATTATATAAATAATTGATGATTTTAATTGATCCAAAGAAAGCTGCGTACTCAATCATTTGGACATTTGGAGTTGGATTGCTTTGCATTTCAAGTAATAATTGATTCGTCTCATAGATTGATTGATCAATTACTGCATCAGGCAAAATATTTCTTCTAGTTATATAAGCACTAAATTCTTGGATCGAATCTTCACGAATCAATTTACAGAGATAACTATTATTTTCTCCTTTTTTCCTCAATTCATAAAAATTAGCAGGTAATTCTTTCTTTATCTCTTCAACAAACTCATTTGGCTTAAAATATATATCAAATTCAACTTCTTTTGGAAACCATTTTGGATTTATAAACGGTTTTATTTCGGGCGCAAAATATTGTGGATATTTCTTTTTTAAAAAATTGTTATTGGTCATTTTTTTGGCTAAATATTCGTCAATGATCAGAATTTTTTCTTCAATAAGATAAAGAAGGATTCGCTTGTTGCTCTTAAATATATTAAATATTTCTTTGTTTGAATACATTTTAATATCATCTTTGAAAAATTGGAGAATTTGCTCGATTTTATTGAAAAAGTTTGGTCCACGGTAATGATTATTGGAAACTTCTACAAGCATATGTAAAAATAGTCTGAGCTCGTGCTCACAATCTTGTATTTTTGTTTCTTTTAATAATCGAATTAGATTTTGGAATTTTTCATCAGTGCTTTCTTCGTTCTCTAAGAAACCTAAAAATTCCGCATGAAAACTTTTGAATTTTTTTAGAAAACTTTCAAAAATATCTCCTTCAGACATCAAAAATTATGCTATGAAAAAGTTGGCAAAATTTATGAAAAAGCATAAAAAGCTATGATCTACGAAGTAAATTAAATTTCAATAAATATATTTATAATATAAGAAATAAAGAATACATAATATTAATTAAAAAATCACATATTTTTCTGGAAGTAATTAAGATAATAATGTTTTTTTATGAGATTTAAATTAAATTACTAATTGGCCTATCTCATTTTCCTTCTCACTTTTTCAAAAGAATTATATAAAATAATCATATCTTAATAAAAAACCCTATAAAAATATTAATTTTAAATGAATTAAAATATAATAATTATTAATAATAACATTAATATCTAAAATTGAAGAATAATTTGTATTATTGGTTAAAAAATTGCATATTAAGTTCATTCTTTTTTTTTTTTTCTCAATTAGGAAGTGTAAAAAAAGTAAGGAAATTTAGTGAAATATGAAATTGATATATTTTTCATATCTTCATGAGTTGAAGAATATTGCATAAATAAATATCCAAGATTATGCTTATTTCATGTGTTAAAAAAGGCTTATATTGAAAAAGTGGAGAAAGAAAATACGATATTTTATTGAAAAATGAAAAAAACATAATAAAAGTTGTAAAAAAAAAATTATCATCCGCAATACAAACGCCTAATAATTGAAAAAAATGATAAAATTTATGAATGCATCAAATGTCTTTGTCTTTAATGATTATTTTCAAAATTAATCAATTAGTTTTCAGTTTTACAATATTAAAACTTAATAAGAACCTTTTTACTTCTTTTCTTTGATTTTTAAATATAAACAAGTTCAATTTGTGTTTTTCAAATATTACAATCATCTAATGACTTGTTATTTATTTGTTCTAATTTTTTATGAAATTTTCAAATTACAAACATGATTGAAGTTGCATTGAATATTTGAAGGAAATGTTTGCATTAATCAGTTTCTGATATTATAGATGAAATTGTAACAAATAAATAATTAAATGATTT